AGAGAATAATGGAGAGAGTGAGGGAATTAGAGAGAACTATGGTGAAATGGTGGTTATCTCATTAACAATCCAACATAGGGTAATATATACAACTATACACAATTGTACAACTTACCAACTAAAACAAAAAACAAGTTTTTCAACCATGTTTCCGATTACATCAAACCTCTAACCGGTTATAAGATTCTACTGACTTCAAAAATATCAAAAACTAGAGGGTGGTAATCAATTACACCAAACACGTAATCGGTTACAAATTACTTCTATTTAATATTTTTGTTATTAGAAGGGATGATAACCTGTTACACTCCTGTTATAACTATTATAACGGTTACACCAACTTAAATTACTTTTTTTTTACAACAATGTTTATGAAAAATTATTTTGTTGAAAAGTACCAACCACCTAAAATATTTTAATTCATCTTGAGAGATTAATCTCCACAAGTATATATTTCAGCTATAGATTTTAGTTACTAAAAAAAATCATGCTAAGTGTATATTTTTTTAAGTCGACAATTATACAGACCAATACCTTAATATGACATAAAAAACTAAATAAATATTTTTTTTAATGTGTATGTTTTTGAAAGCCTAATAACATTAAGAGCTTGGTTTTTTATCTTTATTTTAAAAATGATTTTTAAAATATAATATAATTTTGTATAAAAAAGTTTATAACAAATTTTTTTATAAAACTTTCAAATAAAATTTGGTTTTATTTTAAAATGTTATTTTATATATTTCGTTAATCTATTAAAACTTTTTTAAATATTAAAATTTTAAAAAAATTATTTAATTTTAAAGCTATTTTAAATAATTTTTAATAAAAATTATTTTTGAAATACAACTTTTTAAAAAAAAAATTATAATTTTAACTGTATTTTGATCTTAAATAATATATATTTATATTATAGAATGTCAAAATTAATCTTTAAATTTAAAAAATAAATATAAAAATCATATAATATTTTAAAAAACAGTGTTATAAAATATTTTTTAAAAATATAAAAAATATATATTTTTCTAAACCTAAAACAAATAACTAATAACTTTGGGCACAACCAGAAAGGAAACCTGCCTTCAGCCCTTAATTACATTCCGGCCGGCTTCAAAAACAACTTTCAATTTCTAGACTATTCTAATTACTAGAATTTCACCAAAGCATTGTCTTTTTTAATATAAAATAATTAAGGTTAAAAACATTATTTTTAAAATACTAATAATTATTCTATAACTATTCTCAAATGAATTTAAACTTTGTCTCTCAAAATTAACAAGTTAAACTTTCAATATTAGTGTGACGGTCTCCATGTTTTTAATTAATATAGGATTTTATCACACTATTCATATTTGTTATTTTCAACACTTTCTTTCGAGTGTTCTCCATCAATACAAGTAAGTCAGGTTATTTACTCGAACCAACGACTCATGATATCTTTATTAGGCTCAATTGACGAGAATTAATACGAGGGAGCACTTTTACTTTGGAGTCTTTCTATTTTTTATGAGAAAACACACATTTGTAAAATACACACCACATACTCACCAAAAATTTTAAGGCGATATGTGTGCAGGTATGGGTGGAAAAACAGGTCCGGTCCGGTGGACATGTCCATTTTGCTCGAACTTTAGTGCGGGGCAGGCCAAAGGTTTAGACCCTCACCCTCTAATGTGTCGGTCCCACTCCCCTCTGTTTTCTTCGCGGGCTTTTGCTGGCACGAGCATTTACATAAAATTTTGCGTTTTTAGGTTTAAAAAATGTAGTGTTAGCAGGTTTTTCCTGCCCCACCCTCACTTTTTTGCGGGGCGAGCCTAGGTTTTAGTCTCTCATCCTCAATTATGACCGCTCCGTCTCGCCTCATTTTTTTCCATCCTTTTACTGGGCAGGCCTAAACGAGACGGACATGTCCGTTTTCTACCCCTATGTGCAGATTCTCCCATTTATAAATATTAAGTTTCCACATTTCTAACCAATATTAAACTTCACCACACTATTCAAATTTATTATCTTCAACATTAATAATATATTATGTAAAAATAATTTTTTAAATTTTTAATAATTTTGTCAAGTGTTTGATCTATGACTCATTCACATTAAATATTTTATAAAAATGTTAGACTTAAGTGCATTTTTGGTCCCCTAATTTGTCCAATTTAAACAACTCGTATTTCAATTACAAAATTTGTGATTATGGTCCCTTAAGTTAGAAGCACTTTGGATTTACTTGATCCCCATTCAATTTTGATGATCTGTCATGTTTCTTAACGAGGTGACAGTAATCTATGTATTTTATGTCATAAAATATTATTATTTTAATATTAAATTAAATAATTTAATACATAAATCATTTTTAATTAAATACAACTATATATTAATTGTTATAAAATTATAGATTATAATCCCCGATAAAAAGATCCATTTTTTATAATTAATTTTTATTTTTTTATAATTTTTAATTCTTAAGAATTTTAATTTTGATTACAATCGAGATTTTTCTAAGAACCAAGTTATAATCTTTATTAATACTACACTTATCTTTTGCTTTTAATTTCTTGCTTTAAAGAAACAAATTTTTAATTTTTATTTATTAATATTATAATCATTTGCTTTTAATTTTGATAATCTAGAAAGTTTTCTTTTCCTTTTTTCATGTAAGTTTCTTTTGCTTTTCCATAAACATGCAATTCTTCTTCTTCACAAATGTTTCACCTTCTTTCTCACTCATTTACATCTTACATCCATTTTAATTTGTTGTAAAAGGAGTTATAAAAATCAATATGAGTTTTTTTTCATCCATTCTTTTGTGAAGTTTTATGAGTTCTTTTTCCATATCTAATTTTTTACATCCATTCTAATTTGTTGTAGAAAGAGTTATAAAAATCAATATGAGTTTTTTTTATCCATTTTTTTGGTGAAGTTTTTCTTTTTTCATATCTAATTTTAAAATCTCATATGTTTGATTCAAATGACTAAGAATTTATATTTTTTTTACTTTCTAGATTCTTTTTTCAAATCTCATTTGCAGAAAACAAAATTTTAATCGGCCAAATTCTCACACAGAATAATCAATCTGGGTTTTCTGAATTTCATATAATTTCATATATGATATTATGAATATAAAAGGTGTGTGAATCTGTGTAAATTGAATATAAAAGATTTATGTATATAAATCAGTTTGTTGAAATAGATCTCAGGTGTCCATTGTTAAAATTTGCGTGAGTTTAACCATTAAAATATAATTATATATAATTAAATAATGATATAGTTATTTTGTAAATTAAATTATTCAATTTAATATTAACATAATAATATTTGATGATATGGAATACATAGATTACTGTCACCTCACTAAAAAATATAACATATCATCAAAACTGAATGGAGAATTAAGTAAATTCAAAATACTCCTAACTTAAGGGACCATAATCGCGGATTTTATAATATGAGTTCAATTGTTTAAAATGTCCAAACTAGAGACTAAAAATATATTTAAACCAAAATGTTAATCCAAAAGAATCCCATCATCTAGTTACCTGCCTGATTAAAACTAGAACACAATTTTAAAAGAACAAAATAAAGTGTTAGAATGAATTTGATCAACACAAGTTATTTATATTTAAAGAAATTTGAATCCGAGGACATTTTCAATATTCAAATCTACATCAATAAACCAACTCTTAAGATTAATTTATAAGTGGGTATGAAAGACAATTTGACTCATCTCTGATGAATATTCACAAAATTACACATAATGAGAAGGGTAAAAATACGCAAAAATAAATACAGACACAAACTTAGATAATTATTCACTTAAATAAACAGGGATGATTACAGGTCTGAGCATCAAAGTACCCATCCATCCCATACCCGCACAATATGTATTTTATAATTTAATTTATATTATTATATAAAAATAAATGTTTATAAATTTTTAAAAAATATCAATTTTAAACTACTACATATTATATACAAGTAATCATTTATTTTATAATTCAACAATAATTTTTTTAATCTTTTTTAATTTTTTTAAAATATATGATATTTCATATTATATACGAATACAAACATTTAAATGTTCATATACTACAAATACAAATGTCAATGTTAATACCCAAGAGCATACGAGTTCGAGTTCGTAAATTTTTTTTAACTGTAAATATAAAAACAGTTTTCAACTGTAAATATATAAACAGATCCTATATTACTCAATCCAAATCCTACTAATTTTCATTCTTATATGTGGGTGAAGAAATAACAACCTTGATTCATAGTTACATCAAGAAATTAAACAATTGAAAAAGGACCACAAGAAAATTTTCATCATTGGAAAGCTATTTTTCCCGACCCATTTCCCAAAGAAAAACATGGAGATATATCTAATTGTTTGCGTTTTTCTCTTCAATACTCCATATACCTTGTCCAAACTCCATATGTGTCTTAACAATAATAATGCTCAAAGATTTGGTAAGCCCAACCATACATATCTATATATCTAAAGTTATCCCTTTGTCCTCTAATGTGAAATCTTATAGGTTACCAAATCAACATCATTCCTACTTCATGTTTAACCATCAAAGAAATATATATATATATATATATATATATATTAACTTTACCAAAGCGAGTATTTACTTAGAAAAAAAAGTTTCATCGAAAATATTTTCTTTAGAAAAAAATCCACACCATCATTTTAGAATATTTATTTATAAGTAAGTGACTTTTGTAGAATTGAATTAGATTCAACTATATTTTTTAACACCACTTGTTTCTATGTTGCAGATATGTATTCCTGCATGTGAGGTGTGTTAGGTATGTGTTTAGAGTCTTACTTCGAACAGTGAGGACAATCATTTCCCTCAAAACAAAAGAGTTAAAACTAAAAAATATGATAAATTTGTCCAAGTATGTAACTTCTAATCAACTAACTTACCATCTTTTTGGTCATGTAGGGCCATAAAATCCTTTTATATATCCAACTGTGTAGCCATACTTTCAACATGAAACAACTAACTTCTTATCCTCTGCCTCTCCCCTGCATTTTGAACAGAGTATTCCTTTTGCTTACAACAATGCCATCATCCTCTATTCTCTTCACTTTTCTTGTACTATCCCTCACAATTCTTTGCTCTAATGCTCAGGGTCCACCTTCACCTGGCTACTACCCTAGCTCCAAAATTAGTCCAATTACCTTTAGGCAAGGCTTTAGAAACCTTTGGGGACCTCAACATCAAAGATTAGACCAAAACTCATTAACAATATGGCTTGACTCTAGCTCAGGTATTATGTCCATTAATAAATAAATTTCTCTTTGTTTCAGCTTCGAGCCTGACGCCCTGCGTTTACGAGGTATTGTCTGCTTTGAACTTTATCTGACACAATATTGATAACATAGGTAGTGGATTCAAGTCACTTCACTCCTATAAATCCGGATACTTTGGTGCTGCAATTAAGCTTCAACCTGGATACACAGCCGGAGTTATTACTTCTCTTTATGTAAGCTAGAATTACTTCATAACTTTGACTAACGTCAGTTCAGTCGTAAGAGTTTGACTTTGTAACTTCTATAACGGATGCGAAATTTAAATAATTTCTTACTTTGTTATTGCAGCTATCAAATAATCAAGACCACCCTGGAAACCATGATGAAATCGACATTGAGTTTCTTGGCACTACACCAGGTAAGCCATATGTGTTGCAAACAAATGTATATATGAGAGGAAGTGGAGATGGGAACATTATAGGAAGAGAGATGCAGTTTCATCTTTGGTTTGATCCAACTCAAAATTTTCACAACTATGCTATTCTATGGAAACCAAGTGAGATAATGTAAGTACTATTTTTCATTCAATTTCATGCTCATAATTGATCATTTTCAACAACATCAGTAGTTATTTTTCATGTTTATGTCTCTGTCACAGTATTTCAGTTGAAAACACCATTTTGTTTCACAATTATATATATGATATATAAAAATTATATACTCATGTTTTTTTAACTAATAAATAAATTTTTGGAAAAATATTTTTTTTATCTAAATTAGAGATTCTGAATTCAAACTCAATTTTAATATATATCAGTATTACATTTTTTAAGAAAAAGTTTTCCCACTTAAAAAATTATTCTCTACCGTTGCGCTGAAGATATCTGATTTATAAAAAAAAAAAACTAAAAATAAATTTTAAGTAAATTTATAATCTTGCTTGTAGATCTAGTTGTGGTTGGTCACTGACCATTTTGTCTTAAAATGGAAAAATAACACATGCAGATTCTTAGTGGATGATGTTCCCATAAGAAGGTATCCTAGGAAAATTGATGCCACCTACCCTTCAAGACCAATGTACCTGTACGGATCAATTTGGGATGCATCATCTTGGGCAACAGAAGGTGGAAAATACAAAGCAGATTATAAATACCAACCCTTTGTTGGAAGTTACACAAACTTCAAATTACAAGGTTGTACCATTGAAAGCCCTGTCTCATGTCAAGCACCCTCTGTCTCTGCTGGCTATGGTAGCCTTAGCCCTCAACAATATAGGGCAATGCAATGGGTCCAAAACAATTACATGGTCTACAATTATTGTCACGATCCGAGAAGAAACCACAATCTTATTCCCGAATGTTAAAAATATTGCAGAGTCTTTTTACTATATATATTTCAATACACACTCTCGATAATTGAAATTTATAAGAATAAAAGTTTATATAAATTTCATTATGTAGAAAGAAGTGTGATAAAAAATGTGTGTTAAAAGTATAGTATGAAAGTTTGTTTGAAAGGATGGTTTTTGTGATGGTCATGCTTGCTAAGAGTAATGTCTAAGAGCGGTTGAAACATCCAAACTATCCTATGATTGGAATGTTTTTGTTGTTTTTGTGTGTTGGTTTGGTGCTATTGTTTGGTTCCAATATATATATATATTCTAGTTGAAATAATTTGATTTGGATGATATCCTAATCTTAAATGTATAAATATACGTGTGCGGGTGTGAAAAGAAAGAAAGGACATGATGTATTATATGAAAATCCTTTTGATATAAATTCGGACTTTTCTAGCTCACATTGGACCCATTGATATGAAGAACCTTTTGATATAGAATTTTGTTGTCCTATTATTACAATTATTGTTTCCTCTTTAATCTTGTTTTCAAAATTTTAATTGAAAAATAATAATACATAATGACTAAATGTGTTTGATTTTATGGTAGGTGGAGTAAATTAAATGTGGTTAAAACTACATTTGAAAGTAAACTAATTAATGTTTGAACGACCAACATGGTATGACACAAGTGGTGTTTTACTAATTTTGGTTAAAACTACATTTGAAAGTAAACTAATTAATGTTTGAACAACCAACATGGTATGACACAAGTGGTGTTTTACCAATTGGTCAAAGATTTCAACTATTGATAGTCGGTTATCAAAAACCGTATATTGTAATAGATCAATTTTTTAAGAATCTCAATTATAAAATTTTATGAGAAAAAGTAAGTGCAAGTTAAAAAGTGTTAAAAAATAAAGTGTGAGGATCTCTTATATTAATTAGAAAATAAAATTAAACATTTATAAATGAGAGAATTTATATACTTATCACCTTAAGATTTTGGGTGACTATATAATGTGTCTCTCATAATGTATGTTACTCATAAAAAAATCCTAATGTAAAGATACTTCATCATGTTGACTCTCGAATTAATGATCCAATAATGGTATCATGAGTCATTGGTTCAAGTGAACAACCAACTCGATTGTATCGAAAGTCTTCCCCACATGTGATGGGTAGTGTTGTAATGTAATTCAAAATCAAGTGGTTCATTACATTTGATTTGAGTTTCATTTGGTTAATGTATAAAACCAAAATGATAGTTGCATTTGTAACAGAATCTTGCATTTGAGAAATTGAAGAAAGTTAGTTAAAAAAAATTTTCTCTCTCCCTGCAATTGTTCGTCATCTTCTTCATTTTTGTGCATTGTCAATAGATGTTCATTGTTGAACTCTAACTATTGGTATCCAGAGCTCTGGTTTTATTCATAGGAAAACACAAGGAGTGAGGCGTGTGATTGATTTTGATTCAAAAATTTGTGTTGAATTGAAGTTTGAAATCAAAGAGATTCACATATCTTTATTCTCAAGGTTTGAGAAACACAAGTATTGATGAGAACTGAGTGATTTGTACAAGAACAAAGATGAACGGCGAAAACGCTAGCCTGGACACAAAGCTTTCAGTATTCGACGGAAAGAATTAGAATCAGTGGACGACTCAGATGTGTGTGTTGTTTGGAGCTCAAGATGTTCTTGATAACATAGATAGTGGATTCAAGTCACTTCACTCCTATATGACTTGTTTCTAGCTTAATTGCAACACTTGCTTTGGATGTGGTGTGTAACACCATATTTCCCTCGCTCATAATTATACAATAAAATCAGAGTATTCCCACAATCAAATAGGATGTCACACATTCTCTTTTCAAAACATACATGTCTTGTAACACTTTATCAAATAAAATAACAATCAACACTTTCACTTAGGGTATCATTGCATGCTCACCTTCACTTAAGGTATCATCACAGCGAAATTTCTCATAATAAAGCATGCATTAACTAAATCATTTAAACTACATATTCACTTTATGGCATAATGAACTCATGAATGAAATCTCCTAAAAACATATAAATATCAAACATGAGAGTATACATCAACTCTCTGACAAAAGATTAGACAAAACTCACAAACGTTCCCAGCGATACATATAAGAGCACGTAACTAAACATTTAAAGAAAATGAAGAAACAACCTCATGATATCCTCTAGCTCTAAAGCAGCTACTCAATTACCTGCTTATTTGTACTCCGAAGAGGAGCACAAACCACATCAACAACAAAGGGGTGTGAAATCAAAAACAATAATAACAAACATATATTGCAAGGTAGAACAATAACACAACATTCTCTACACAATTTCATTCATAGTATATCTCGTCACAATCTCACACCTAAACTCATCAATCAATCAAAACTTAACAATTATGCATACAACTCATTATGCAATGCAACTCGACTATGCAACTCTATGCATATGCATGTGGTACCAACTCGACATTTGGTTATCTCTGGAGTCGGGTCCCCTATTCTGAACCCATAAGCCCCATCTTCTGAGCTTGGGACAAGTCACTAATCCCCTCTTATGAACTAGCAGACATGCCTCTCGACACAACTCAATGATGCATGTCCATGCACATCAAATCAATGTGCAAATACCCCTCTTATGATCCTAACGTAATGCATTAACAACTCTAGTAATCCCATCTCTGGATTACATCACACCAAAATCACAAAATGCACATTATCAATCAACACTGCAACAAAAGCATGCTAATAATTCATCTCAATATAATTATATTTCAAACATCACATCAATTTAATCAATTCATTGTACAAACATAATGATCACAATAATTAATCATAAAATTTTCCATAAACAACATCAGAACATAAATATCATACAAAAACATTGTCCCCCCTTCGAACTACCACCACCACAACAATTATGCATATTCATATACAAGCATCACACAACTCAAATATTCATACACCATATACAATCAAATTTATGCATACAAAACATCATCTTTCGTTAATCACAAAACAACACCAAATAGCATTAACGGTTTAATTATAACAATTAAATAATTTTTCTAAATTAATTATTAACACTTAACAACCTAATGTAATCATGCAATTAATTAATTTAAGTCACCAAAAACATGTCCAACAGCAGTTAACATGAATTTCACGACAACACAACACATAAACGGCATTAAGTGCACATCCATCCTCTTAAGGCATCACCATGAGATAATACTACGCGTTATCTTTCCAAAGTTTTAAACCGCGTCCCAAACGGAGTCACGGATCTCAAGTTATGATGTTTTTCATTAGGCATAGCGGGAGTCATGAGGGTTGATGAGCGTCACCCAGAACAGGGTTTTTTTTTCCTATCGCCAGTTCGTCTCTAAGTCCCAGAATCTGTGAGTAAATACCAATAATTTATTTTTCTATATTTTCCACCAAAGAATCCCTTTCGGGCCTCTGATTTCGATTTTGTAAAAAGTTCGATCTCAGAATTCTACATACAACAATTATCCAATGATTAAAAGCACAAACTCATAATTTATCATAGATTAACATCAATAAAATCATGTATTTTCATACTTTCACATTTACCTCAAAACTTCAAACCTTCGATAATGGTGGAAAATATTAACAATTCCAAAACAGTAATCACATACCACATTCTACATGAAAATACACATAAATTCATCCAATCAACATCATAATATCATAGAAAACTCAAAATTTCATGAACAACCTAATGACCTATTGCATGTTAAGGACTCATCTACCCTACCCCTCATGTATAAACTCTATTGAAAGTTATTATGTCCTCTTATCTTAGAATTCCAATAAGCAAGCTCTTCTCCAATGATTTTCCTCTCCTCTTCTAGCTCTAAGATTACCCTCTTGTCTCTTTCTCAAGTTCTCTAATAAATTGGATGAAACCTAACTCTCGTTCACCTTTTAGAATATATATCTAGGGTTTTCTACACGATCTCTTCTAATTACCTCATTAGCTCCTAACTTATTCTCCTAAGTATCTCCATTTCCCCTTATTTATCTACTAACCCCCACTTTCTCTATCAATTAATCAATTAAATAATTTCTATCATAAAGTCACACTTTTTTTATATTTAATTAATTTATTCTTATTATTTTATCTCTAATAACAAAATAATTAAATTAACTAAAAGTGTTACTACTCATATTATTCCATCTAATAATTAAAACACTGTTATTTTAATTATTCTACCACTTCTACACTATCACCATACTACTTTAATCTTCTCAACCATCTCACTATATCCCACACACATAAAACAAATATTCAATTTAAATCAATATGTAAAATCATATAACCATGTTAAATAACTCAAATGCACAAATTAACTTAATTAAATAATTAAACGGAAAAATTGAGGTGTTACATAGTGCATTATGATATATGTGGTCCATTTAAGCTACCTTCACTTGGAACGAACAAGTACTTTGTGTCATTTGTGGATGAGTTTACAAGAATGACATGGGTAACACTCATTAATTTCAAACATGAGGTGTTTGCTGAGTTCCAGAAGTTCAAAGTGAATACTGAAAATCAAAGTGAACAAAGGTTAAAGATCCTCATAACTGATGGTAGAGGTGAGTTCAACTCAACAAAGTTCAAAATGTTTTATGAGAAACATGGTATTTTGCATGAGGTGACTGCTCAATACACTCCACAACAAAATGGTCTTGCTGAAAGGAGAAATAAAACTATGCTTGACATGACAAGGAGCATGCTGAAGGAGAAGAATCTGCCTGAGCAATTGTGAGGGTGAAGCAATTTCTACTTCAGTATATGTACTCAATAGATGTCCAACAAAGAAGTTGAAGGATGTAGTACATACTGAAAAATGAACTGGAAGAAAGAAAATTGTTAGAAATTTCAATGTATTTGGTTCTGTATGTTACAAACATATATTAGATGCTACTAAAAGGAAATTGGATGATAGAAGAAAAGTTATGTTGCTTA